ATCGTCCGTTTCGTTGTGATTTGTGTCCCAAGGATTTCATGTGCAAAGGACACTTAGTGTCGCACCGGCGCAGTCATACCAACACCAAACAGCAATTCCAGTCTGGACAATTTACAAAAGACCATGGCACAAATGCATCTTTTATGTTAAAACATTTAATGAAACAAGAAAATGTGTCGGAAATGATCGGCCTGCATCAGCCCCATCCAATGCCTCAGCACTCTGTCAGTGTGGGCACACAAGTTGGACTGCCTGTTCTTCCTCCGCCTCCAAACCTCCATCTTCCCCCGCCAACCGCCGCTAGCCTATTGGCCGCAGTCACGTAAACTTCTTGGAGTTCGGCCACGACGACTTTTTTTTTCCAATTTCGTTCTGTTTGTTTTTCGTTGCAAAATTATAATTTTATTTTCGCATTGAAATCGTCATTCATTTTTATTTATTTGTTTTTTTTTTCATAGATTATTGTGTGGATTTTTATCGGGAAATATGATTTTCGTTGGTTTTGTTTTATTTAAACACTTTATTTATTACTACATTTACAATTTCATTTCTTTATCATTTTTAAAATTAGATAATCTAACACCTTTGAGCAACGAACCTATCTCGTTTCTATTTATCTTATTTCTTATTTGTGTGTATGTATATATACATACATCTGTATTGTGTTTAAATATATATATTACACACATATTGGCAGCTAAAATGGCTTAATTTGTTTTGCGCGCGAAGTTATTGAAATGGCATATTAATGATATGTATTTGTACCGATAATGATCTCATTACATTTTCAGACTTATGTTTTGAAAGTATTGAATACTTATTGTTTATTACTGATTTCTATGTTTTTGACTCTAGACAGTTACATAATTATACTGTTGCTTTTTGGACTGTGCCTTTGAAGCATAAGGGCTCATATTATTAATTAAAATTGTAACTGATGTAATATTAATATTGAACCCTTTTTCTATTATTTAATAATATATTATAATTATTTATTCAAATTATATCATTAAATCATATTAATTTTCTTAAAATTACATTTCAATAGTATTATTTTATTTTTATTATTTTTTTCATTTTTTTTTTTTTTTTTTTTTTTACTGCAAAATTATACATGTATAATGCATATATGTATATTAAGAATTTACTATCAATAACTTAAATATTTATAATTTAAACTATTAACAGAATATTTAAGTATTTTACCTATATTAAAAGAAAATTTAAATTAATCATTTGCTTATTTTATATCCTATGCTTCTTAGGCCCAGGTAAGTATGTTTGATAAGAGTATTTGACGTGTCTGGTTATTGTTTAATTGGATTTTCTTGTGTAAAGGTCGGTGACTTAAATTATTTTAAATTTCAAAACACTAAAAGTTGAATGAATGTATGATTAGCCATGGAAGGCTGATCAATTTCAGATTTAATACTCAAAACATTATTTAAATTTTACAGTTTTTGTTGTAAATGTAGTAATGTTTTGGCGATAATTTTTTTTTATTTTATTTTTTTTTTAACAAATTTATAACTTTACATGGTTTTTCGCGTGTATTGGAAATTTAATATTTCCTTATAATATTTAACAAAATGTTTTAATTTATGTAGCCATTTGAAATATTAAATTATATAAATCATAATTTTGTTTATAAATACTTAAGTGTGTGAGCGTGCCCTATGTATAGAAAATACTATATTATTTTAAATTACTCTAGGCTTAGATTTAGGATATAAAATTAAATATTTATTATACAACTAATATTAGTATATTTTTTTATGCTAAAAATGTTACCAATGTAGTTGTATTAATTACCTACATTGGATAAATATGTTATAATAATGTAAATAACATAAAGCGTAAAATTATTGCCATTATATTGTATATATTTCACATTGACAGATAATAATTTACTTAAGTTAGTTATATTTATAATTATTTAAATTATTTAAATACATACATATATTTCAATTTTAAAAGTAATCACATCATTTAACGGTGCAATATTAACCGAAATTTTTTATTAGTTTTAATTTTAATTTTCATATTTATTTTGCTTTGTATAAAATTGCTTAAATTATCTATTCTTTTATTATTATTATTATTATTATTTAAATAGATTTCAAAATTTTAGAACCAATTTGCCATATTAATATGTTTTGATCTTCCTCATTGTTAAGTGACCCAAATTTAGCCTTTAGAATTAATTCAAAATAGAAAATAGACTGATTTCATTTTTCTTAACTCGAATATAGTATTTACCTACTACAAATTTAATAATTATTAAACTGTGTGCGTTTGTATGTATTTTAAATTATTTTATTATGTTCATGAATCATAGCATAAACATGTAGTACATATGTGCTATGTCATATGTACATAAAAAAATATAACTATTTTAATGTTATTGTTAATCATAATGGAGTAGTTTTAAGTACATACTTCATGTAGTTTGTAGGGCTTGTGGCTACCAGATAATTAATTTAGGCTATATTTTAAAGTTTAATTGCAAAAATGAAAGCTAATTTAGATGCATAGAAAACTTGGTTTACCAAAATTTTCCCCAAGTTTCGTGGCCACTTGCACTATAAGTAGATTTTAGTTTTGAATTAATTATTTTTACAATTTATATTCCGTTTTTGTAATAATAAAATTGTATTGACGAAATATAGAATTTGTGTGAAGATTTACTTTATATATATAAATATATATATATAAATATATATATATAAATATATATATATA